CAAGATAGCTTTAGTAAATTCTGTCCAAAAAATACTTTGCAAACTTTCCTGCTGGAAACCACTTCAGTATCCTTCAGAAACAGCAGCCTTCTGTGAGGTGTCCATGTCTCATAAAACAGTCTAGAACAGGCACCTCTCACCCTACAGTTCTAAACACATTGAAGTTTTTATAGACAGTCTGATGCAGGAGAAATGCTGAATATACTTTGCTGTTTTCTTTAATCACTCTACAACCTAAATGCCCTTGGTACCAGAAAGTCAGGGTTCTGCCATCTGTCCTGTTTGGGCTGCAGTTTGGTCAGTTTAATTTCCTGTCTTCCAGTTTTACTCTTTGATGTATTTTAAGCCTTACTCCTTCCTTCTCTAATACAAGTGTAATAGATTTCTGCTGTCTCTAATCTGTAAAGGGATATCACTGCAGCCCGAAAGTATTGCTCTTTAAATCCAGTACCTGATTTAGCCTGATTTCACTCCCAGATAAGCTGTTTCCATTCCAGTTACTGCTTTTCCACGTTCTCTGGTTTGTCTGCCATCACATTTTTTTCTTGCATTTTATAACAAAGTGTATAATAAAGCATTGAACTGGGGGTTGTCACAGGCTGCAAAAGTACACAGAGCTGGGCTGATCCTGCTGCCATCTGCTGGAATACCCTGCTTTGAAAATTATCTTCAGTGAACAGGAAAAAGCCTTTGGAGTATTTTTAAACTAGCACATTAACCTCCTTGGGTTATTAGCTTTCAGCTTATTACTGTATTCCACTTCATACAGTTCAACAGTAAAAATTATAGGTGCTCAAAGAACCACATTTTTAATGGTTTGCATGTTATGTGCTTGTGTTATTTGTATTTCTTTAGGCAAATAAGCATCAACTTTCAGCTTATTACTGTATTGCACTTCATACACTTCAACAGTAAAAATTAATCTACAGGTGCTCAAAGAACCACTTTTTTAATGGTTTGCATGTTATGTGCTCATGTTATTTGTATTTCTTTAGGCAAATAAGCATCAATTCTTTCTACTAACATACATAAGCTATCTTTTATCCCAAGCCATAAATCAGTTAAAAAACTCGAATTAAACAACTGTTTAAAGCCTACAATCTAAGTACAGGCTCTGTGAGAAAACAAAACCACACCTCCACATACCAACATTTTGACATTTCAGGTCAAGAACTTCAGTTAAATGGAATCAAAACTGAACTGGATATGGACATTTTCATTTTCTTGGGGGAACACTATCAACACATCTTACTGCTTACCCTGTTTTGAGGCAGCAGAGGAAGCCAGTGCAGCTGGCTGAGGTTAACTCTGCCAGTCACTGCCCTGCTGCTGCTTGCCTCTAGGCACGTGCAGCCAGGGATGATAAGCATTTCACAACAAACTCCTCAAAACAGGCCCTGCAATTACAGATATTCCAAAGAAAACTTCAACTTAAGAATGCTTGTTTGCTTTAGAAAATGTTATTTGAGTTTCAGGCTAAGCAGGTTCCCACATGCTGCTATCTCCTGTTGTGCCAGCCTGATTCCAGGAGACATCCACATACAGCAGGGAACTTTCCTACTTTGGTTTCAGCTCTGAAATGATTTGGTTCATAGACTGAAGCACACCACCACTTTTACCAGCTTCAAACTTCATTAATTAATTAATTAATGTATACTGTGCCTTAAGATTGACATAATTGCTGAACACAATGCCAGACTCGGCATCCCCCCTGTGCAGAACTCTGCATGCCCTCAATGACAGCTCTCAGACTTGCAAGAGGCACATTAATTGTATTGATGCTTGAGGTCAAGCAAATGTAAATGAAGCTGCACTTGGCTTTTGGGCCAAGCTGTTTAATTACTTCTGTGCTACTGCTTTGCAGTTAACATGCATTGCTCATAAGGAATTGGGGAGAAGCTGTATTTGCTCCTTGGGGCATTAAATGTGATTTTTCAGGAATAACAAAAATTACTTAACTCCCAATCCCTTTCATTGACTGCTGGTCTCACGTTGGGAGTGGGAGCTGTTGAGGTGGGAGATGTGACACACAAGCCAAATCTGTTATTTTAGTCATTACACTGCTTGTTCATTGACTGCTGGTGTCAGGTTGGGAGTGGGAGCTGTTGAGGTGGCTTTCCCAGAGATGTGACACACAAGCCAAATCTGTTATTTTAGTCATTACACTGCTTGTTTGAACCTTCCATGACTACTGCCACCAATAAGGAAAGACTGATTTAAAACACTGGCATTTAATGAGTAACTATTTCAAGGTGCTTTTAAGTTTCCTGTGTGTGCTCCAGCTTACCTGTTAGTCTGTTGTCTTGACACGCAGGATTTTCTTCAGACAACTTTTGTCCACCAAGTGAATTCTGTGCACAAAATAACAGTTATTGTCAGTAGTATTTCATTACCCCAAACCTCTTTTGTAATGAACTATTTATTAAAGAAAAGACAGTTTAGGTTTAGTTTACTTCAGAGAACTGAATGAGAGGATTCTCTTAATGGAAAAGCCCAGAACATGGATTTCCTTCTCAGCCACATTGACCTATTCCTCAGCTTTAACTGTTCTACAACTTACCCGCAGCCTTCACTGGAGATTCTTTAACAGAGTTGCCTATTTGTAACAGCATTTTACAACGGTATATATAGGAAAAATAATTACATTTTATTTTCTTAAACAGATTTCTTTTGAATTTCGTTCACTTCTACACTCAAAACTTGCTACATTGTTTTTTGATGAAGTTGTAAAGCAGATGGTTGCTGCCTTTGAAAGAAGAGCATCCAAACTCCACGGCCCAGAAACCAGCATCCCTCGGGAGCTGATGCTGCATGAAGTTCACCAGACCTAAAGGAAACTGTAACAACCTCAGCTATAAACTCGTTTGTACACTTCACCTGTACAAAGTGCCGTGCTCCTCCTTTGGGGCATTTATTTCTTATCTGAGCTTGGGTGTGATCTTGCCCTGTGCCAAACACACCTGCTCAGACAGACAGACATAGAATGCTCAGAAGCTGCAATCAAGTGCAGCTCAAAGCCTTATCAGTAACAGACCTGGCAGCTCCTGTGAGCCGGGCTATCTCAGCTGCCGTTTAACACCAACGGCTCCTGGAATCACAGCCCAGGCTCTGCCTTAGCCGAGCTCCTGGGGTTTTTCAGCACTGTAACTTATTAACTCAGCTTTGTGGGAATGTAACTTCAGAGCATCAGCTCAGCCAGCTCTGCCCAAGCAGAGGCCAACTGACACACTGGCTTTCCCAGAGAATGGCTCCGTTTGGCAGCCAGTGAGGAGTGGTGCTTTGAATTCAAATGGCAAAGGTAAGTCAGGGATCTGCAGTTGCTCCTAGAGTGACCAGCAACTGCTCTAGCAGTCCCCTCGTTTTCAGGGATGAAATGCATAAGGAGTACTGTAACCTGAGTGCAGCAGTCTCAGCTACAGCCAGTGGTGCCCAGTGGACCTGTCTGGAATTTGCAGTACATTTGGCAGGCTGAACTTGCTCCTTGCCACTCCTTCCCTGGCACACTCTGCACTTTGGTTACCCCCGTCTCACCTAATGCAAACAGAACACTTTGAAGCAAGTGTTACCTCTGAGAACCAGGTACCCGTGCTGTCCTCCCTGGAAGCACGTAACAAGAGGCCCTGTGCTTCCGTGCAGACAAGCACAGCCAAGGCCAGCTGTCATAAATCATGCAAGAGAGCACTAAACCTTCATTCTTTGAAGTTTTTCAGCACCATACTCCCACCGTGATAACGGCATCCTGATTACATACATGCTCAGTACTTCTAGTCCTGAAATACTCTCTTCCCAGTCTCTGAAGAAACCAAGGGAATAGGTTTGAACAGATTCTTCATCTTTACTTTATGCTGCCTTGCATTACCAGATTTCCTTACTGAAATTAGGTGAAGTTTCAGCCCAGGTGCTGAAGCTGGTCCTTTCTCGGCAGCACATGTAATCCATATGGTTATTAAAGAACAGCATATTTAATAACATAGAAAGGTATGTTTCAAAATAAAGACAGCCCTGAAACAGTTTCAGATAATTTTACTTAAAATTAGAATGTCACACATTCCATCTGAGGAAGGATAGTTCTTAAGGGCAGGAAGCTGAGGAAAGCAACAGGTGGATTAAGGTCATTTGTACAGAACTGAGAAGTTGTAAAGCAGTTTTGATTGTTGAGGTAATCAGATATAAACATACACAAGTTTGGGAACAGCATTGTTCTGCAGGCTGGAAAGTAGAAAAGACTGCACAATGTTAGTGGTGGTGTCAGGTCAAAGAACACAGAAAGAGGCAAAGCAACATTTCTAGTGCAAAATAACTAAATCCTGCACCCCTTACCAGAAAGGAGGAAGGTAAGAATGGAAGGCTCAAGGTGAGGAGGTAATCACATATTACACCTGAGCAAAGGAAGGATCTAAAAACCCCAGAACCCTTTCTTAGCAGACTCACCTGTTTGGTACCCTCGGGGCACTTCAGTTCCCCTGGGACTGTGAAAGGTGCACAGGGCCTGTTCCAGCACGTGAAACAACCACATAGACAGGGCAAAATAAAGTCAGTGCACGTGCCTTGTTTTCAGAGCATTGTTTAATATTTCAAAGAACTGTAGTGCAGTTCAGTTTAGATATTTCTTACCAAAATTAAAGCACTTGCATTTCTGAGAAACATTCTAGACAAAGGAATGTTTCTCGGAGTGAAATGCCCTGTCATATTTTCAAGCATAAGTGTCAATTTCTACTAAATCTTAGAAGCAACAGCAGGCTGTCCAGGCTCTCCCATAACTATGGCTTTGTGTGCAGATGAAGGAGGTGATACATTTTGTAACTTTTGAGCAGTTTATTACATAAAGTTCACGTAACTCTATTTGCCTACTTTGTACACAATTGTCTAGTCTCACGCACAGTGGCTTCCAAGTTCTTTCGAGTACTGGCAAGCACCAAGAAATTCTGAAATAGAATATCAAGTGCCTTCATTAAGTTCAAATCAGGACCTTGGTAGATGGATCTTGCACCCAGTTATCAGGAATGTACAAATGTCTTTATTCAAAAAATACAAAATAAATTATCTGTAGGCATGGACAATGACTGTAAACAATTACACGTGTGTTAAATGAAATCCGGTAACTGATGGTTACAGTGATTCTTTTCAACACCAGCCTCACTTCAGTCACTATCCATCCTCTCACACTGATAGCTCAAGTTTTTGAAGTCAGAACTGTCAGTCTTTAACAGCACAGCTCATGATGCATCCCTACCCCAGGAATTAGAACATGCCACCTCCCATTCCTCCACCCATCCCACCCATTCCTCCCATTGGCGGCTCCTTTTCTTCTTTAGGAACTTCAGTCACCACTGCCTCTGCTGTTGACAGGAGAGACGCAACACCTGCGGCGTCCATCAGAGCAGTTCTCACCACCTAAAAATAAGCAAGAAACTACTTAAAACCTGCTGACCACCACAGGAGGTGGGAGGAAGCAAAGTGAGAATTAAGATCTTTAGGTTACCTTAGTTGGGTCTATGATTCCTTTTTCTACCATATTTACAAAGTCCCCAAGCATTGCATCGTAGCCAACTTCTGATGGGCTCTGCAGGATTTTTTCAACTATCAATGATCCTTCAACACCAGCATTCTTTGCAATAGTCATTGCTGGGATTCTCAGTGTTCTCTTGATTATTTCAATGCCTGCAAGAAACAGGATAGTTGGAACTCCGTGTACAAGCACCACTCCCACTGCCAAGGAATGCCCTAGTGCTGGAGATCAATACAAAGAGAAAATCCTCCAAGCAAGAACATAAGCTATTTTTGTCAGTTCCAGGAGGAAAGGTTCTCTGCTACTTGACACTTGCTATCAAATGAAATCTCTGCAGGATATTCACGCATGTTTTACTTCAACAAAAAAATAGTAAGAAGTATTATTACTCTGTATTTATGTGTAACATGACACAAAGCCTTTTTCCATTTGATTTGCCACACAGTCTCTTGAGCATTATTAGATTTTGTCTGACTTTAAGAGCCAGCCCCCAACTCTAAACATTTACCACTCCGTGCTGGGACACTGCTGCTTTACTGCTACTGGGTCTTACACAGTCCAGTCAGTGATGCAGTTTAAAAGCTCCTTCCCACTCAAAAGCAGACACCACCACACCAAAGAAACGTGATGCTCCTAAGATCAAGTAACTAAAAACTCACTGAAAGCTACCCAATAAAGCCTGAAGACAGCAGACAGCCTGCTCGTATCACCTCCACACACACCCTCCAGTCATTTGCTTACCAATTCTCTGATCCTCGTTGGCTGGGGTTAAGGCATCTAGGGCTGGGATGCAGCGCAGCAGGGCACAGCCACCACCTGGCACGATGCCCTCCTCCACGGCCGCACGGGTGGCGTTCAGGGCGTCGGTGACCCTGTCCTTCTTCTCGTTCACCTCCACATCGCTCGTCCCACCCACCTGCGAGCAGCAAGCCACAGTCAGGGTCCGCACCAGGAGCCCGGCTGGGACAGCTCTGCTGCCACCAAATTAAGCACCAGTGCCTAGGAAGTGCCACAAAGCCAACCCACCCTCTCCCACACTGGCAAGTCTTCTGTACCTCAGCACTCGAGAAGCCCAAGCTTTAGTTCATCATGATTTTACCAAGTTCTTAATACCTTCAATACTGCTACTCCATCAGAGAGCTTGGCCAGTCGCTCGTTGAGCTTCTCTTTTTCATATTCACTGGTGGTAACCTCTAGCTGTTCGATTATTTCTTGAATGCGTTTTTCAATCTGAGCCTTTTCACCCTTCCCCTTGAGCAGCATGGTGTCATCTTTTGTCACAATGACCTCTCCAACTTTACCAAAGTCATGAGGCTGAATGTCTTCCACATTTAGGTTCAAACCCTCTTCTCCAAACACCTGAAAGAAATTATGTGAGAAGTTGGAATTCACAGGTTCCCCATACATCAGGTTTTTCTATCTACAAATACACGAACACATACAGCAGCTAATGGTGCAAAATAACCACATTACTGCAGTTCCACCCTCTGAGTAAAAGCCTCTTCCTGATATCCAACCTAAACCTGCCCTGACACAGCTTCAGTGTTTCCTTGGGTTCTGCCACTGGTCATCTCCATGTATTTTGAGAAGTTACAGATCCTGACATGTCATTGACTGAAGAACAGTTTGCTGGTTGGTTACTTTGTGCTGCCATTACCTTAAACATGAAGTTTTGTTTCAACAGCTTCCCCTAGGTCCCAATATCATGCTATGATTTTGAAGTGCATATTAAAAAAGGGCAGTATAAAGGGACATTAATCAGTGCCATCAACTATATGCAAAATTTAGTAGCAAGAAAATTCATTCAGTCAATTCCAAGCATTTTAAATAATTGTATTTGCCACATCTGGGTCCAGGCAATTAATATTTATAGAGGCAGCAATTGCCTTGGAGTTCCTCCTTCCCCTTAAAAACCTAAATCCTGCAAGGAAACCTCATATGACTTCAGTCAGCTACAAGGACATATGGTTAGCCAGGACTGCATTACACAGCAATTATCATTCTAAAAAACAGGAAGTTTCAAACATCAGTTACTGTTACATTTCTGAAAGAACAGAACACAGCCTGCAACCCACCAAATACACGCCAATGACCTAAAAATGCACAGTATCTTCCTCCTTAAAATGCATTGAAGTTCCTTGGAGCAAAAAGCCACTTAAAACATCATTACTTACAGCGCCACCAGTAGCAATTGCCATGTCCTTAAGTTGGTTTTTCCTGTTGTCACCAAAACCTGGTGCTTTTACAGCAACAACCTGAAGGCCAACCTTCAGTCTAAAGACAAAAATTCAGAGGATGAGTTTAATAACTACACCAAATTATTTCAGTGCAGCTCTAGCAGTCAAGCAAACAAAGAGACCATCACAAACTGAGGTGGTTTTTTATAAAAAGGCAGTTAGGACACAACTGAACTTCTGCCTGAGTGGATATAAAGCATGGTGGTGTTAAAAGCTGCTATTTCTTTGGCACAGGCAAGAGAACAAGCAGCCTTACACCATAGATAAAAAATGGATTTTAAGCCTCACCTGTTCAAGACTAGAGTGCTGAGGGCTTCTCCATCAACATCTTCAGCAATGATGACCAAAGGTTTGCGGTTGGCGTTGGCAATTTCAAGAGCTGGAACTATGGACTGTACACTAGAGATTTTCTTTTCACTGATTAAAACATAAGCGTCCTGGAATTCACATTTCTGCCCTGCAGAAACAACATGCATTTTCTGGACAATTCCATTACAAAAACATATCAAGCATTCTTTTAACTTGAGCAGGTGCTTTGGAGCAATAGTTGCACTTTCCAGCTGCATTAAAAAAAGACAACTTGTTTTCTCCAAGACCCCACTCTCAATTCTCCATTGTTCTGCTGGGTTGCAAGGCCAGCCTGATGTTCACAGAACACTTTGCAGGGAAGAAAAAGGAACCCCCAACACCCCAAGCTTTCACCAAGTTCAAGTTTTCTGATGGGAAAGGACCCCCTGCTCTATTTGCTGTGGTGCGCAGCACAAGGGACTGTAAAGCCTTTAACAGGTGCCATTATTTCTGACTGACACAACTTACTGTAACTCACCTTTAGTTGTGTTAATAAAATATGGAGAGATGTAGCCTCTGTCAAATTTCATACCCTCAATGATTTCCAGTTCATCGTTTAGAGTTTTCCCATCCTGTTTAGATGTAAGAAAGTCTGCATTAAAATCTCCTGTCTGCTACCAAAAGCACAAGTACAGTTTTAGCATATCATGTGAAACAGATTGAAAGGCTCTGGATCCCACATCAGTTTCATGTGCTTCTCTCCAAAACAGAAAGAAGGGAAAAGGGAAGAGTGATCAAACTCTGATCTAAAGGAACTGGGGATGAATTATGGTGGGAATTATGGAATGTGAGCTGCAGCAGCAGCATCACATGTGACAACAGCCCAACAGGAGAAGAGACAGTCCCTTGGCCAGTTCTCACCTTGACAGTGATCACACCCTTTCGCCCAACTTTTTTCATTGCATCCACATGTGACAACAGCCAGCCCAACAGGAGAAGAGACAGTCCCTTAGCCAGTTCTCACCTTGACAGTGATCACACCCTTTCGCCCAACTTTTTTCATTGCATCAGAGATTATATTGCCAATTTCCTGATCTCCATTTGCTGATATTGTGGCAACCTGAAAGAATAAGACATTTAATCTCATTTTCCAATGCAAGGTGCTTCCTCATGATAAACAAAAAAAATCAGAATAACCATTTCTGACAAGGCAGGGCAGTGGAGTGCAGCACACTCACAGCAGGAGGCAGGAACTCTGTCAGAAGGGCTCAGGCCCTTGGGCAGCTGCAGCATAGAGCCAGATTCCCTGCCCTGGGATCACACCCAGGCCATCTCCGGGCACAGATAACCCAGGACCACCAACACACCTGAACCTGAACTCCCACACCCTCAGTGCTCTGCCATCGCTTCCATTCACACCAGACTTTTGCTCCCATCAATTCTTCCCAAGTACACACATTTATGTTTTAAGACCACACTTTGGAATGAAACTTGAAAAAATCTGCCAACTTCTGAACTAGCTTCTAGCAGTGCAATTGAAGAATATTTCTGATATATAAAGAAAAGTACCCAGCATCAAGATGCACATAACCTACTTCACAAAACTTTTTCTGAGAAGAGCTGCCTAAATTTCAGTTACATTTCATGGTGTGTTTTTTCTTACCTGTGCAATTTCTTCTGGAGTTGTAACAGGTTTTGAGAGCTTCTTCAGCTCAGCTGTGATGGCATCCACTGCCAGCATCACCCCTGAGATGGACAGGGCACTTGTGAGTGAACAAAGCAAGGTACAGAGCACAGAAAACACAAACCGAGCACCCACCCATCACAATGAACAGGCTTCCTTTCAAACAGAAGCCACACTGCAAAAATGCATTGTTTGCATCTTCAAAACCAAATAGTTCTTGTTCCATACTGCCATTTGTGTATGCAGTGATGGGTTTTTTGAAATTGATGTGAGATACTATCATGATGGAAATTTGTAACACATTTGTTTACATGGCTAGAGTATTAATTAGATGCAGAAATGGCTTTAACTGAGTTCACTCACGACAAATAAGTTGAGACTCCATGTAAAATAGTACAATAATTAGACAAATTATTAATTGTTCAGAGTCTGCAGTATAAAAAAACCCCAACTGTGCTCTCTAAACATCACATAACCCTTTATGGTGGCTCTTCAAACAGAAAACAAATCAAACTTAGGAGTTTGCTTACACAGCTACAGTATTAATTAAATGCAGAAATGGCTTTAACTGAGTTCACTTACAATAAATTAAATAAGGTGACTGCATGTAAAATAGTACAATGATTAGACAAATTATTAATTGTTCAGAGTCCGCAGTATAAAAAACCCCAACTGCGCTCTCTAAACATCATATAACCCTTTATGGTGGCTCTTCAAACAGAAAACAAATCAAACTTAGGACATGAAAAACAAATGACAACAATTAAATATTAACAACAACAGAAAAAAAGTTACCCCTCCTAATTTCTACTGGGTTGGCTCGTCAAACTTAGGACATGAAAAACAAACGACAGCGATTAAATATTAAAAACAACAGAAAAAAGTTACCCCTCCTAATTTCTACTGGGTTGGCTCCTTTGCTGATCTTCTCAAAGCCCTCCTTGGCAATAGCTCGTGCGAGGACTGTTGCAGTAGTGGTACCATCTCCTGCCTCTTCGTTGGTATTGTTGGCAACGTCTTGAACTAACTTGGCTCCGATGTTTTTGTATTTGTCTTTCAAGTCAATTGCTTTTGCTACTGTCACACCATCTTTTGTCACTTTGGGACTTCCCCAGCTTTGTTCAATAATAACTGTTCTTCCCTAGGGGAACAAAAAAAACCCCATTAAATCCAAGCCAACCCAAAGCATGTTACTCTCAAGAGCTCAAGTGAAAATTCTGAACAGTCACGGCTGAACACCTGACACAGAGCATTCAGCTGGAACTTCTCAAACACACATTTTAATACCAAGGTTCTCCAAAACTAGAAAAATGGCTCAAAGGCTTTATGCTTGGACAGAATGACACTCCATTCTTCAGCCATAATGCTTAATACCAGTCTGCACTTAAGTAACACTGACCTTGGAGAAAAAACTGAAGAGTCCCTCTAAATGCTGTTTTTTACCCCAAAATAAAAAAGATAATAACTCAAAGAACCAAATTTCCAAAATTCTCATCAGATCACAATAAACATTCTTTGTGATTGAAAAATAAGTAATACAAAGCTCAATTTGTTGCATGTGCTGGAAGGTAAAAAAAAAAGCAGACTTGCAAACCTCAATAGTGATTAGCAAAGACAACTGAGAACACTTCAAATTTGTGTTCATGTGTTACAGTAATTTCTCAAACACTGCAAATTACCAAGCTTTTCCCATCTTACCTCACACTTGGATCCAACTAAAAAGCTGGAGTATTGTATCTAACAGACAGAGCTAACAGGGGAAACTGTGAACCATGCAGGGACCACAAGGCAAATGCACCTGCACAAGGCCACTGCTTGTTCACAGATTAATTCCACAGCCACCAACTGCCCCAAACAATCGTGTTCCAGTGTGAGCTGGAGGCAGCAGAAACTCAAGGAGCCACCTCTGGTTCACTGCTGCCCTGAAGCTCCTCTACCATCCTGGCAGCTGGGGCTGCTGGAAGAGGAAGGGAGCGAGTGCCCCACCTGAGCACTGCCCTCCCACCGGCCTGCACCCTGCCCTGCCTGCTCCCTCAGGTGCTGCCAGAGCTCTCCCAGCACAGGGGGGGATCACGTGCCAGGCGAGCGGGGCAAGGATTCCCGGTGCCCCTCCCCTGCTCAGGGCCCACACATCTGCCTCAGTGCCCCAGCAGCTCTGGCTGCCTGCCAGGCACGAGGCCTCGCTGCTCCCAAAGCAAGGAAAGGTTCTGCTTCAGCTACTCGGGCTGAACCTGGGCAACAGCTTATGGAAATTTACCTCTGTGCCATGGAACAGTTATGCCAAAATGCACCCCTACTACTATCTTATTTGACCTGCATCTCTAAATATAAAAATGATTCAATAAGAGAACTCCTTTCAGGAGTTCAACCAGTACATTTTTCATATATTGTCTCGTAGTTTGCTTAATTCTGTTCTGTATTTTGATATGGCTCTATTCCTAATGTTTGGTTTGCAGCTTTGAGAAGAAGAGCACAACAAATAAAGCCCTCCAGATAAATCACATGAAGGGGCTTGCTGTAGCAAAAGCACCTGCCTGTCTTCCTGAAGAAGGGAACAAACACCACCAGTGACTGCACAGGTGTTTAGAATGGTCCGGCATATTGAGAAGCTGAGCTCCCACACAAACCAGTTCTGTTCAACATGCTGGAGCAACACCAAAAGATTGTGTGAGACTGCAAACTGGGCTCCTTAAAGTGCACAACAGTGCCAAAGGAGGTTTCCTCACCAGAGCGAGGTTTGTTAAAAATGCCAGAAGCAGACTCAGGCACTGCAGCACAACCTCTCCATTTTCACACTAAGAACAGCATGACACAAAAATCCCCTAAGGTTACACAAAGTTGCATCAGCAACTGCCCTTTAGCCAGTGGATTAGAACTGTGCTTCAGCATTCACAGAACAGCCTGATTCAAAAAAAACAAGAGTTAAATTAACCAACTACACTTAAACTTTGTTCCTTTATGGAAGTAGCCACAGCTTCCTGACATAATTGCTCCTTAACCTTCATCTGCTGCTCAGCTTTACGGTATTTTTGCCTTTGAATGAAGCTGGTAGAGCACTAAAAACGTGCAGAGAACACATGAAATAATGTTACAGAGGCCAGCAACCCTCAGAAGAACTACCATGCACATGCTGTTACAGGGAACAGATATTCACACAAGCCCCAAGAAAATCAGTGTCTCTTCCTCAAAAAGAGGAATCTCCTTTCAAGCCCTACTGCACGTGGCATGACTATGCAGAACACCACAGCTGGTTTTCCAAGAGACCCAGATGTCCCTTACAGGACACAATACAGGCTAACACAAGTGAATGCCTCTACCACAAAATTTCACTTAGGCTGGCAATAGTCACCAGCCAACTGAAAACTCAACATTACACTTGGGATATTTTTAAAGCTTGTTAATATTTAAAATGTAAACTAACACAAAATTGTAATTAGCAAAAAAAAAAAAATTAACAAACAAAACAAACATCATAAAAAAATTCCAACCAAGCCACCCACATGGTAATTAACCCACCCCATGACACAGGCAGTTACATTATCTACTGCATTGTTACAGGTTATCAACTGAGCTGGTAACACATTATGCACATCTCCTTAACCTTCAAAGGCTTTAGACGAATATAATGTACCTTTCACAGGAATCCAAGCAATTTTACTTTGTTACTGTGAAAAGCACATGCTCTACTGTCCCACTTTTGGTGACCATGAGACCACAGCTAGCTGCTTGCAGGAGCCTGTCCATTCCCCCACCCCTTTGGGCTGCAGCTCTGCAAACACAATCGTGCAGATTCACAGAGAGAAACCCAACCACCGTTCTCTGTTACAGTATTTTTAGCCAGGTCTGTGGTAAGAGAAAGGCCAAGTCTGCCATTACCTTTGGCCCCATGGTGACAGCTACAGCATCTGCTAAAAGATCTACTCCTTGCAGCATCAGAGCTCTCGCGTCTGCTCCGAACTTCACATCTTTTGCATAGGCTCGCGTTAGATGGGGGGCGAGGGCTCTGGACACTGGCCTTATCTGACGGAGTACTGTAGATAAACGGAGCATGTCTAAAACATTAAAAGAAACGTAGAGAAAAACAAAAGCATTACGGCTTTGCACAGCTACTTCTACAGGAAAAGAGGGAGAACACATTCAGGAAGTAAAGCAGGCACGATGAATACTGAATTTCTCGACCGGCCGAAATCAAGACGCACAACCACCGGCAGGTACCGGGCTGCGTGTCCCCGGTCCCCACGCCGGGAGCCGCGCGAGCAGCTCCTCCCTGCGCGGCCTCCGGCACCGCCGCGCTCCTCCCGCCGGGAGCGGGGCAGGACACGCCGAGGGCACCGCGCGGCTCCATGTGCTCGGCGCGGGGCCGCGCCCGCCCGCGGCCGCAGCAGCGGGGCCGTGCCGAGGGCAGCTCAGGCAGGGCTCCCGCACGCCGCCACGCCGTCAAGGGCGGACAGAAGACAGACAAGGCCGCGGCCGCCGCCCCGGGCCCGGCGGAGCTCCCGGGGCGGGCAGGGCCCCGCGGGCACATGGCCGCTGCACCAGGACGCGCGCAGCAAGGTCAGCGCCGCCCCGCCGCCGCCGGCCCATGTGCGGCCCCGCCGCCCGGCCCCGGAACCAGCATGGCCTCCGCGCCCGCCCACAGCCCGCCTGCAGCGCTGGGCCGCGGCCGGCAACTGCGCATGCGCTAAGGGCTTGCAGCATGAACCATTCATGTTCCGGGGCCCGCCGATTCCAGAACCTTCTGGAACGCTCATGCTCGCCACGGGTCAGAGGTGAGCTGACCTCACTTCCGCGCGGGGCCCGGCCTGGGGCGCCGCGGGAGCTGTGCGGCGGGTCCGCGGTACCGCCGGCGCGTAGCCGATCCCGGGACCGGGATGGGGCCGCGGCGGTTGAAAAAAAACGGCGGCGCTAAACGTGCCCGGGGCCGCGGGAGGGGGGCGGCTCTGCTCCGCCCTGGGGCGGGGCACCGGCCGCGCATGCGCACGCCGTGACCTTCCTCACGTGTGTGCTGGCGGCGGCGCGGTCACTCGGTGCGGGCGGCGCGGGAGCATCATGGTGAGTGCTGGGGCCGCCGCCATCTGCCTCCGCTGCTGCGGGCCCGCTCCCGGCCTGCCCGGGGACAGACAGCCCGCAGGGCCGGCCGGGCGGCGCCCCTGCTCCTCCCCGCGGCTGGGGCGCTGCCGGGGCCCCCGAGCAGCCGCCGCGCACGGGCGTGCCCGGTCCCTGCCGTGCCCGCGGGCCGCGCTGGGCCGTGCGGAGATGGGGAAGGCGGAGGCGGGGGGTGGCGGCGCCGCCGCAAGGTCACGCAGTCCGTGGGGCTGGGGGCTGCGGGCCCGGACGTGGCGGGAGGTTTGCAGGGGCTGCTGTGGCTGCGCAGATCTCGAGCTCAGGGTCAGGGTTCCTCCCCGCCGCGGTGGCGGAGCAGCCGCAGGGCAGCGCCGCACCGGCCACGGCGGGGCTCTGCGGACATAGACAGGGAACCTGTGCCACGCTCCGGAGCTCTCTTTCCTAAAATCTTGTAAAATTTTTTATAGAGAAGGAGGAGAGTTTGACTGAGTTGTTCCTGCAGTGATACTTGATTCTTAGGATAATAATAACGCGAAGACTTAAAACTTAGTGTAAAATATAATCATAATTCTGGCATAAATCTGGCAGCTTTATTTCTGATAAACGTAGAAGAGCTCTTAGAAAAAAGAGGGTCAGCGATATTATCTTGACAGAATGAAAAGGTCCACAATAGCAGCCTTTTCCCTTGGTTATCTGTCACCCCTGTGCTGCTGACAGCAGTCGAGCACAGCATCTTCCATGTACTGCCTCTTGTTCGTGCTCTGCCCGTGGCTTTGCTTTCCGCCACTGCTGCCGCGTGTGTGGGCACCGATGAGTGCCAGCAAAGGGCACGCGGATGCCAGCCCCTTCCAGCTCTTTCTCTGAGCGAGGGCTCTGTGTACCTGTCCAGTGGAGCACTATCTCCATGTGACTTGGCAACTTGCCATATCTTTCCTTCTAAATCAAAGCAGGTTCCTTCTTCCTGACCCCCACGTGTTGGGATAAGTGCATTTGCTTGCATTTATCTGGCCTATGGCAGGTAGACTGCTGGTTTTAAAATGCAGACAGATAGCAGAAAGTAGTTGCAAAAAACCCTAAACCAAATGTGAGGGAAAAACTCAACAACTTAACACCTTGACTCTGCTTAAACAGAAACCACAGCAGTTGAGCTAGAAGGGTGCCTACCTTCTCATTTTCAGGGCCTTGACCTAAACTTTCAGAATTTTTTTTCTGGATCTGTTTGTAGAAGTTGGTATGAGTGACAGCTCTGTGGCTCAGGCTGCAGACTGTCACCTGTTTTTTAGTGAAAGGGTCATGCTTGGAAGCACCTAAGAAAGCCTGACAATGGGGCACCTGGCTAGACTTGTGCTTCTTTAGTGTGAGCCTATTCACAAGTATAGATGCAGTTCGTATAATTGATATGTTCACAAGCTATGGCAGCTAAGGGCTTGGTGTTCAAAGCCTGGAGGCCTTTCCAGACAGAGGAGTCTGCTCTGTCCTGGCTGGTTTGTTCCCCAGCTGGAGTAAATCTTCCTACGGCTGATTTGTCAGGATTGCCCTGCATCTGCCCGTGCCTCCAGGAGCTTCTGATGCAATCAGAGCTGGTATTTGCTGCTATTAAATAAGTGCTTTGTAGTTGTCTTACACTATTCCTCTCTCTCAAAAGAGAAATCATTATGTGTTGGTTTTTAAAACTCCTTTTAATTGCAGTTTTTGTTGTAATGGCTCTCTTGTTACAATGTGCAATTACTTCCACAGGCAGGAAAAGCATTTAGGAAATTTCTTCCCCTCTTTGATCGAGTGCTGGTTGAGCGATGTGCAGCTGAGACAGTAACCAAAGGAGGAATCATGATACCAGAAAAATCCCAAGGGAAGGTGCTACAAGCAACAGTAGTAGCAGTTGGAGCTGGAGGCAGAGGAAAGGTAATTACCCTGAAGCATTCCATTGGGGTAGAACCAGTAATGGTGTGGTGGTACTTGAATGTTGCCCTAAGAGTGGGATGGTTATAGTGCAGAAGTGGGGATAGCTCACAAAAATGGATGACTGTAATGGCTGACATCGCAAGTGAGGGGATTCAGAAAGCAGGTAGAAACCTCAAGTTGTCCTGAAATTAATTCCAGCATTCCTTTTGTAATTTGTAAAATGGAGTGGGGTCCCCCAGAATGTGGGGTTTCCACAAAATATAAAATGCCTATTTATTGGCTGCCTTGTGCTGTGCAAAATACCATTGTCCATAAGGATTAGGCTTATTGGACTAAAGAAGGTCAGCAATCAAGAGAAATAAGTGTTGAACAACTGCTTGTTAATTTTGCACGTTGGATATGTATATGGAAATAAAAGAAGACAGTTCACAAGAAGGCCAGTGCCTGCGGGCTGCCACAAGGGAAGGGCTGGTTCCCCACCAGAGCAGTGTTCAGTCAGTAGCACACTGGAAAACAGGTTAAATTTCAACCTGGGCACGCTGCCTTGGCCTTTCTTTACCATGAGTCCCTCTATACATCCCAGGCTGCTTTGTGTCAGGATCTGATTTTTAACAGTTTATATTATGAAAGGGTGGTAATATTTGACTAATGTGTTAATGTTTTATATATAATACAAACATTTAATTAAACTTCATCAGGTGCTTCTAAACAAGTGGTTTTATGGCAACAGTTGATCAAAGTTACAGAAATGGGAAGGTACTTTTTTAATTGGCAATTGGAGAAATTATCCTTGGTTATAGAATATGGAAATGTTTGTCCCTTGATTTACAAGGGGTTTTCATGGTTCTTCAAGTGAAGTCCTATTCAGTGTGTCAGTCAAAGACCTCACGCTTGTATTTACAGTCAAAACTAAAGGCAGAGTTTGATTTCCTGAATATTTCTGTACATGGTTGAATTGTGGTAGTTTGGAGGAATTCTATTACAGAAAAGTAAGGATTTTTTTCTTTTTTCAGAATGGCGAGATTCAGCCAGTAAGTGTAAAAGTTGGTGAAAAGGTTTTGCTCCCAGAATATGGTGGTACTAAGATCGTGCTGGAAGATAAGGTAAGTTTCCCAACTTTGTGAGTGCAAATCAGAATGGTTCCTGAAACACCAGTGATGAATACTGTGTTTATGCTTTGGTGTGAGCACCATCCAAGACAGGGAGCAGCTGGATCCAGCCACCTTCTCAGAGCTGTGCTACCGCTGCTTCTGCCCCTGCATGAAAGGCAGCAGCCACAGGAACCTCTGACCTGACCTTTGCTGGGTGGCAAAATGGGCTTCCATATGTCCAGCACATATTAGAGGGCATCCAAAAAGGCTTAGGAATTCCTGGGGGCATCCTTGTTTTTGGCAGGGAAGGCCTGCTGAATTGTTTTCTAACAGTTCTTGCACTTTCCCACTGCTAGAAGTAGTAACTTGATAGCTCTCCAAGGAGTATCTTAGGAACAAAAGGAACTTCTTCAAGACTAGCTCTACATGTTGATTCTTGGTTAGCTTGCTTTTGATTTTGTACTTAATGACTGCAATAATGCTGACTAATACAAGACAGTATTTGCAAAACAAGAAAAAGATTCACATGACAAAGGCTAACATTTCTTTTCTTTACAGGACTACTACTTGTTTAGAGATGGTGACATTCTTGGGAAATATGTGGACTAAACCTGTTGCAGTACCAGTCATCCATTCCACTAAAATGCTGAAATTTTTCTTTCATCATGTAAATAATGTCCTTTATTTTATAATAAACAGGCATTGAGTCTTTCAAATAACTTGCGATCTCACTGTAACGATGGAACACAAATAAAAATATGTACAGTCAGAAATCAGTTGCTCTTGCTTGAGTTCCACTGAACAGTGACATTTGGATGACCACCAACCAGCCTTAATTACTCCAGACAACATCATTTTATATCCTTATCTCTGTACTGAGATTGTAAAGGTCTTTACAATAAACTTATAAAACTATTCTGCTTCTGTCTCAGTTTCTGCTGTTGCTCAGTGAAACTGAGTCTCAATTGTGTAATGACCTCCCTGAAACATTAAGTGG